AGGAGAAAAATGCTACTAAAGCAATTTTGTATATCAGAAAAGAGTTTAAATATTTTTAGGAGCTTAGTTATAGTACATGCAAATTCATCTTAAATTGAAAGCATTGGAAAACCTTTCAAGTACAGAATAACTGCAGAATGATCAGATGCTCTTATAAGTGATCAAATGATCAGACTGACCTAATTGACAAAGAGGTTATGTAAAATATTGCCTTTTACTTAATCCAGGGTTTTAGCAGTGTTTGGAAACTTGGAGAGCCCTTTACAAAATAAAGTGTCCCACTAGTCCCCCCCATGACTAGATACATGGACAGTAAGTCAGCCGAAAAACTGCCTGAACTAGTGAGCTCAAAGGATGGTGATCAGTGCCACAAAGTCACCTGGAGACCTCTCACTAGTGATGTACCCCAGGGGTCAATATGGGGACCAATACAGACTCATAACATTGTTAATGGCCTGGATAATGGAAGCCACTGCAAAATCCTCAAGTTTGCAGATGACACTAAATTGGGAGAAATGGTTGACAGATCAGAAGGATTTGCTGCCATCCAGAGGGACTTTTGACAGACCAGAGGACTGATAGGAACTTGATGAAATTAAAGTAAAGAGAAGAAAGGCTGCTCTGCCTGGGGAGTACTACCTTCAGCACCAGAACAGGATGAGGAACCGAGACTGACTGGGGCCCAACTGTCTGGGGACCAGAAAAGTACCTGGAGGTTCTTGGTCTTCCTTTCTTACCATGAGGCAGAAATGTGCCCTGGCAGCAAAGCAGGCCAACAGCCCTTTTGGGCTGCATCAGGAAGAGAGCTGCCAGCAAGTCAAGTGAGGCAATCATTCCCCCCTAATCTAGCATTGATGATTCTGTATCTGTAGTAATGGCTCCAGTCCAGACCTCCCTAGAACATGAGAGAGATGGAAATAGAGAAGTGAGTCCAGTGAAGGACCAAAAAGATGACTAATAAAATGACTGAGGCATAATCTTTTCTCATAAGAGAAGAGGCTGAGAGAGCTGTGATTTTTTTAGCTTGTAGAAGAGAAGGCTCAGGGAAATCTTACCAACTTGTGTAAATACCTGTAAAGAATATGGAGCCACACTGTCCTCTGTGGTGCCTAGTGACAGGAGAAAAGGCAATGTTCAGCAACCTGTTGTAGCTGACTAAGGGGGCGTGCTGGAACAGATGATTTTCAGAGCCATGAAACCACAGCTCCCTTGGTTTAACTTGGTAAAAGCATGCAACATCTTTTACAATGGACGATACTCCCATAAATGCCTATTCAACTTGACAGTCATTGAATTCTGCTGAATTAAAAAAATAGCTGTGGGAGACAGGAGCCAAAAAACCCGTCTGTACTATTAGTGTAGTACAGACAGCACTCTAAGGAATTGCTTAGAGTATGTGGAGTCATAATATCGTCAGTCCAATAACCAAAATCTTTGCTGAGAAAGATATACATAGTGTGCACAAAGGCACAAACACAACTTGTATTAAGAGCTATAAAACTTACTGCAGGGAAAAATAATGTATTATACAATCTCTTTTCAGACATGTGTTACTTGGTTAGTAAATAAATTAATATTAATTTTGAGACTGACCAGAAAGCCAATAATTTGTTGCACCACATTCAAAAACCATGGAGATTATTTTAACCCCACCAAATACAGTCTTTCTTCTAAGGAAACTAGTTGCTCTTGCAAAGGAGTGCTGAGATGAAACAAGTGGAACTAGTCCCCTTTAAATTCCAGGCTAAAAATGAAAAGCTTTGAAAGTAAGGATCAAGACCTAAAGCTCTGTAATTTTCAAAGCAAGGCAGAGCAGATGGTAGAAAACAGGATGGTCTGTTGAAAGCTACTGTTATGGCACTGTCTTGCCACATTCTATACAAGCATGACTTTTATTGTGTCCCCAAATGATAGGGAAAGATATGCTTTGGTAAGCTACAAACTACATTTGTAAACTACTAACAGGGAATCTTCTACTTATTTGGAATTTATATCAAATTTCACTTTACCAAATGGAAGAAAAAGCAACTCAGGGGTATCACACTAAAGATAATGCAGTTTACTACTCTCAGCTTCTTCACAATGTAAGAAAGAGGAGATTTTGATTACAAATGGGACCTCTGACAGCCAAATAAAATATATTTCAAAGTCTCTTCAAAGTGGATGGCTTTAAAAGAAATGGTACATAACTCAGTCAATATTTAAATAGAGTGAATGAGGTAGATGTTCTCCTTCAATGAAAACTTACAAACTAGTTCTTGTGAGAAATGATAGCTTGTTAGATCATCCTATTAACTACACTCAGTTTGCTATTGCTATGATCCCTGTGAAATGACAAAACCATGCCTGGAGCTGTAACTAGAGGAGATATTCCTAATCTCAGTAAGATAGGGACTTCAGAAAGAAATCCTTTTCCTGTCTCTACATGCACAATACCACATAGACTCGCAATGATGGGAAAGGTACAAGTAGACTGCAAATCTTCAGCAGTTTGAGACCACACAGCAAAAAGTAGGCACTTACTTTCTCAAACTGTAGAGTGCCATGACAATATACCTTTAAAAGTGCTTAAATGCATCTATACACAGTAGAGAGGAAAATGATCAATGAAATATATTCTTTTATTCTTCATATTAATAGATCTTTGAAATTAAATTTGAAAAAGCAGAATACAGTACTTGTGGTGCCTTCAAGAACAGTCACAGTCATGAAAGAGTGGAGCCAACCCACTTGGAGGAAAATGAAAACTTCCTTCTTCCCTATTCAAGACTAAATACACAAAGAAAATGAATGTTCTTCCTCTGTCAGCTGACTCTTACATGTAAGAGTTCTTCAAGATTTATTATTTGGCATTTCATGGCTCTGCATTGTTATACAAACATACATGTACAAAAAGGCTATGAGCAATGGACTGCACAATAAGAGAATATCTGAACATTTGAACCTCCCTTAGATTAAAGGTCTTCCGTTGAAAATTAAAAGGCCTATTAGGAGTGCTTTGCTTTGCTCAGGCTGGAAAAGAGAAGACTGAGAAGACCTCATTGCAGTTACAACTTCCTCAAGAGGAAAAGAGGAGGGGCAGGCACCGATGTCTTCTCTGTAGTGACCAGTGACAGGACCCAAGAGAATTGCAGGCTTGAAGTTGTGTCAGGAGAGTTTTAGGTTGGATATCAAGGAAAGGATTTTCATCCAGAGGGTAGTTGGGTACTGGAACAGGCTGTCCTGGGAGGTAGTCACAGCACCAGCCTAAGAGACTTCAAGAAGCATTTGAACAGTGCTCTCAGGCATATGCTGTTACTCATGAGATTGTCCTGTGCAAGGCTAGGATTTGGACTTGATGATAACTGTGGGTCTCTTCCAACTCAGGATATTCTACGATTCTAGAGTACTTGAAAACAAGGGTAGTTGGAAGATTTGTTCATTTTAAGTGATAAAACATTTATGCATATATTCTTTTCCATCCAAAATGGAATTTCAGTAGTAGTCATGAAGCCTTAAAATCAAACCCTACATTTGACATATTAGATGAAATTACAAATTCCATAATGCATAATATTATTTTTCTAATGTACCACTGGCCTATACTGAGAAACAATCTATTATATAGATTTTGCATTCAATTTTTTTGTCAAAAACTACACAGCACATCAAAAGTTAATATCACTAGGGAGTTCTGTGATTAATATGAAAACAAATGGTATATTAAAAATTTCTTTTGTTCTTCATTCACAAGGATGAAAATGCTAGGATTTAACCTTTAAGGGTTAAAGAGTTTAATCAATGTCAATGTCTGATCTTCTGAAGGCGATAAAGAACAGTCTGTCTAGCGATACCCAACAGAACATCACTTTGTCAAGCCACAAAGCACCCAAAAGCTTGTCAAGTAAGTTACCAGAAACCTCTTTGTGGTTAGAACTCAGCTCCTTCCTGCTTGACCTATTATTTGATATTTGACCACTTGGTTGCAAGACACTTGCTCTTTCCAGCTGAAATGTCACTGGGGCATCTTGTCAGCTCCCCGACATCTCGGCCTGACATACAATTTTACTTTTGTGTGCTACAAGGCAGAAAATGCAGGGCAATGGCCTTGCTTTAAATTCTGTCAGCATCAAAGATGGGCGTCACTCTTGGGTCCTACCAACAACAACAAAAAAGGAGTCTATTTGAAGGTCAAAACAGCCATTACTTTTTAGTCTTTCAGCTTAAACTAAATATATTACCTGCAACACTGGTTTGGGAACTGTCCTTATAAAGTATATAAACATATCATCAGAAATCCTCTCTCCACAATTGTTCTTTCTTATGAAATGCAGACTTGATAAAAGGGTGAGTTTTCAGCGCCTGCAGGGACCAGATTCAGTGGTTAACTTAACTTGTTCAAATAGGCAAGTGGTATCATGTAGCTTTACAAGGAGCAACCTGACCTTCTCACATTGACCAGCAGTGACATTATTGTGCAGGAAGAGAAGCAGTCACATCATTTCTGTTTTGCACAACCTGCTTAAAGTTTGCAACTAAATGCTTGTCTTCAGTTGAGCTGACAAGAGAAAAGAGGGGGCTCAGTGAACCATGGCAGGGCTGCCATGAAATGACAGGAATCATTGGCATACATTTCAAATAGCTCTCTCAATCCTATTAAAGTATTGCAGTCCTGCTTTAAAATAGACAAGTATGAAACAACTTTGATAGATAGAGACTAAAATGGCTTATTGATTTTTTTTTAAGACTGAGGAAAATTACCCAAAATGTGTCATTCTTTAACATTTAAAAATATACTACATAAAAAATGAACAACTGCAATAAATAAAAGTTTAAAGAAATAACTGCTTCAGTATGCAAAACTGACAGGTGCAGAAATGTGAACATACAAATGCACATTTTCACAATACCATAAAATTAATGTCAAAAAATACAAACGCTGAGCTACAATTCAAAGATAGCAAAAAATTACACTTTAATTGCATCATTTTACATTAATATAATTTTTCCCTTCTAGAAGATTATTGATACTAAGAATCTGAAAATTCATTTTCCATTGTTCTTCTGGGATTGGATGTGACATCCAGGGTGAAGAAACAGATTGAAGACAGAGAACTGTCTCTGTTTTGCATAACACTGTAGGATGTGTCAAGTTCAGCTTGCAATGCCAAAAAGTCTAGGACAGAACTCTGGTCAGGCTGAATTTCTAGCTTGGAGCCACGCTGATGTTTGAACTACCTCTTGTTTCCTGGAATGATAAATAAAAAATAAAAAAAAAAAAACAAAGCACAAAGAGAATTTACACTTAGTGTTAAATTCCTTTCACAAAAGTATGTATATGAAGTATTTGCAAGTGTTTTCTTCTTGTTTTAAACACTTACTTTGGTACCTGAGAGCCAATAGCCATATTTAATAGAAAGAAACAAGGCATATTTTCTCAGGTATTCTGCCCAAGTAAGTGTTAGAAAAAAATAACCTCCTGTATTTGAAGTGCTACAAATACTTATAGAGAACTTTTACCCCCTCTTCATTACAATTACCAGATTTCTTTTTCATCTAATAAAGAAATGTTTTCCAGTCTCCCCGTCACTGTTACTAGGAAACACATGACATGCAAATTATAGAATGTATTTGGGTTTATTAAAATATATATCATCATCAATTGAAATCAAACACTTAATACTCTTCAAATGTTAGCCTGTAAGAAAATGGCCAGAAAACACACACTGAATGTACATTGATGGGAACACGATTCATATTTCAATACGTCTCAACATTCAATCAAACAGATAATTCAACATTAAAGAACTTCCAGCACTAAAACATCAGGCATTGTACTTTGACAGATTATGGATAATATCAGTATATCAATACTAGCAATTCTTTTGAAAATGGTAAAAGAACGACATTCTGTATTCCCCTAAAGAAAGAAAAGAAAAATCAATGACACATAGCTCTTCTGCCCTTTACCAATGCACTGCATTGTGTGAAAATAACAAAAATTTAATCAGGTCTTATAATATATGAAAGCATCATATGCAAAGCATAATTATAGAATAAAAAAATTAACACACTGAATGGCCATTTCAGTATCTCTGAAGTTTAGAACACTTTCTTTTCATCATTTAAGGAAGAGTATAAATGCATATATAAACACACACACATTGAGGCAGAAACCCGTATCTACAGACACACTAACTCATATAAATTTGGAGAGAGGCTGAAGGGTGTGTGTATATTCATATTTCAACAAATCCAGTCTCAATTATATGTATAAAGACACATTCGTGAAAGATTCCCCCTCCCTCAGTTACCACTGCTGAAGAAAAACCAATTGTTGCCTCTAACACCTACTTCAACAGGTCCCTTTGATACGAACACTTTTGATTTCCTGATTTCACCACAAGCTATATTGCAGCCACTCTAAACTCCTAGGCTATGCTAGACCTTCATTAAGAACTCATACGGAAGCAAATTTAGATGACGGTTTCAAGTACATAGTTAAAATGAGGTAGTGCCCTGAGTTTTTCTAAATGTTAGGTCTGACGAGGATGAAATAACCAGCAGGACTAGGAAGTCAGATATGTAATACTCTAGTTTTTCAGTCCTTCTGAGCTCTACCCTACCAAATAAGAACCCCTAAAATGAGATCTCAGTGTTCCAGCCAACCTGAAATGAGAATTCAGTGAAGGCTAATACACCAATTGACAGCCTCTTCTTTGTACACTATAATCAACTGACTGCACGCAAAATTCTCTCTAAAATAAGAATCATTCATTAAAACCATTACAGCAGTATTGAAATGCACAAACAACTTGTGATGTTCTAAAAAAATTTCTATGTGTAAAAAAAAATAAATCAATAAGCTTCAAGCTACAAATGGGTTTGACTCTGGGTAACAAATATTGAGGACAAATTTAAACATACTGCTTTCAACACCTCAAGTAATCAGCATACCACAATGAATGAAAAATCTCATACTATGATTACACTCACGTATTACTCTTTTCCAAGCTGTAGTGAGGGTTTTTTTTAAAAAAATATGGCATAAAAAATCCAGTAAAGAGGTAAGAAATCAGATTTCCTTTGAGAGTTGCAAAAACAAAAATTATGAAACTTAATGACTGGCAGCAAGTCAATAGACTATGTTACAGTAAAAGCTTCATTGCTGGGGAAAAAAAAAAGCTCTGGTTTAGTTATCTAGACCCTGTGCTGTACTTCTTACAAAGAACAGAATTCTAGTCATTGAACAGAAGGGAAATCAGATTTAATATCAATGTGACTGGTGTAAAAAACAATTTTAGTCCTAAGATCTGTTTTGATCCAATATCTTTATATACCTTCATGATGAATAAAAAGATAGTACTCTATATGTTAGAAGAAAAAATACTCTGTTATAGATCTGTTATAATATTCATTTTCTGAACACATCCCTTTAGAGAGGAATTTTAAAGGCAGTTATAATTTCCCCAACAGACCACTTTCATCATTATTATATTTAAACACCTTTTTAAAAAGGGTTTTAAATTTACAAACTCAAATGACTATGCCAGAGCTGTAGTGATAATCCATCATATAAATATGTATTTAGGTAATTTTTCAAAGAGAAATGATTTATCTGAAATCAGGTGTCTGTTTGGCACTTTTATTTACCCTGTAGGCCATACATTACTCCATCTGAACTGTTACACTTCACCAGATAAACAAATATCTAGGACACATATGTCTAGCAAAAACATGCTTTCAAAATATTTATGTAATATAGTAATTGGTCATGTCCTGTGAACATTTTTCAAATTTTGATCACCTAATTTTACAAAACGTGTTTTTTTGAAGACAAAATCTGAAAAGTTACTCTATATTATGGAATAATTGCTTTCTAAACTTTAGTTAACCCAAACAATTTTTTAATAGACGTGGAAAAGATTTCCAAAACATTTCTTCTCTATTGTTGCTCTGTAACTAACTTACAGTCAAATTTAAGATCTAGTTTAAAGGTTGTCTCATGACATATGAGCTGTTTTACCACAGTTAAAACTCATTTATAGTGGGTTGCTTCATTATGATGATATTGTGATGGAATATTTTGATACCATCATTTATTATATCATTGTATTATGTTTTTATTGCAATGTCAGCCTACCCAAAAGCATCATGTTGTGATCAAAGATGCCCATTTTGCTTTTGTATATCCATATTTGTGGAATAACATGCACAGTTGGACACTTGAAATTAGAAGACCATGCACATGTTATGACAGTGGTGCAGATAATTACAAAAGGAAATAAACTGTTACAAGTATGATGTTTATCTTCAATTGCAGGAAAAAAATCTACAGCTGAAGCTGCAGAATTAGTCAGAACAGTTTCAGCCTTCAAAATCTACACAAAGGTAATTTTACTGGACAATTTTCACAGCTTTTCAATTTCCCTCAGCTACGTATGTTATTACAAAAACTTCTTCCACTTCTCAGGTTTCCTGCCACTAATTTTTGTCACTTCAAACTGCTTTCAAATACTCAGTTTCAAAACACAGTAGCCCAAACTCCTCTAGTGCTTTCTTCTGACATGTAGCATACTACCTTATTAAAAAATACATTGTTAGAAAATCAGAATAATAGTGATAGGATTTTTGTGCATTAAGGCTTCTGGGTTATGCATGCAATAACAACTGGCTTTCCAAATGAGGAAAAAAAGCCATGAAACTGCTCAGAATCAGAAGAGACCAAATAAGAGACAAAAGGGCATGATGATTAATACTGAATACAAGTTATGAGAGTTCCCCATCTATGTGATGGTGTAGGTATGATAACAAGTTCAGTGTTATATCTCAATGTAAATGAAACAAAATTGAATTACAAGGCCAGAAAGTGATCTGTAATTTGCCAGAATACAGGACACATAGGTGTGTGAGGATGCCTGTCAGTAAACAGAAATGCAGAGGGAGGACCCACTTTACTTTCTTCAGAATTCTAGCAACTCCTAAAATCTCTGTAATTGCAGTAGCACAGTTTCTCAAGAGTAGGAAGAACTTTAAGTTAAACACAGATGCAGAGAATGGTGGAGGGAAAGTGAGAAATGGTCAATATATTTCTCCACAACTGATTTGTGATACTCACTCCTCGCAGCCCAACTCCACAACATACAAATACAAAGTAATATCAGTAGACAGCAAATCAAATGGCCGATAATATTCTTTTCAGTTTTTGCCACCTATGCTTCCTTACAGCTTGCATAACTTCACTGGTGCAATGTCAATTCCAGTACGTGTTAAAAAAGAACCACTGTCTTCAATAACCATTTTGCAGCACTTATGTGAAAACCCTATTTCCACATAAAAGATGTTCATTTTTCAGAAAATTCACAACCTACTCAGACCGCTATTTCCAAAACTGACTTGCCTTTTGCCAGATAATGCCAAGGGACTTCCAGTATGCTGCACCTTTTTTTTTTCTATCTGTTAAAAGTAGCTCCAAGAGCCATTTCTTACTTTCTGACTTATTTGAAATAATCAAATACTACAAATGGGTATTTAAAACTAAAGTATTACTTGTGGATGGATGTCAGTGTAATGCAATGTTAGTTACAAACTTCTGCAAAGCAGGAATTGTATGACCGAAACTGGAAAGTTTGCTTCCCGTGTCAGTGATCTTGCAATTCTGTATGCTGAGGCTGTAGGACAAAACTGGTGATCTGACACAGTGTAAGAAAATGGTAACATTTGGTATAAATTTTAATTGTCAGCACTCCTGCCTGGATTGTGCAGACAATTTGCTATCAGAGAATAATTCAGTGGGCTGCCATACTAAGTCAGAAAGGTAGACACACAACATACTTTGGATGCTGCTAGCCAACAATACTAATGGCTCTTTTCATCATCAAGAATTCCCTCTTCCACTTTCAATTTTTAAACAAGTATGAGTCTGTAATACAGGGAAATTAAAATTTTTCTTACTTTCCTAATGCTCTTGCATTTAATTCATTCAGTGAAATCACACTCTGGAGGCTTAATTAAAAGCAATTAAGACAAAGATTTCATTATATATTGTATTTTTTTTTAAAGAAAATCCTGATTCATTCAAACATATTTAAACCTGGTATGTTTGAAGAACACACAAGATTGGATGCATTATCATGCCAGCTAAACACTTTATCTTCAATGTTTGGTTGGCTTAAAGACAAATAACTTGGTTCTGCATTGTTAATTTTGATGTTTTCTAAAAGTTTTGGCTAAATTCCACACACAGCCAATACTGTAAGCCTTTGTTCCAGATGCTTCACTGGAAACAGGGAAGTTTCCCAATTTTAGGTCAAATTCTCTGCACGACGCTATTAATACCAAGGTATTAGACAAACAAAGCCATGCTCTTTTTTTCATGGCGAAATTATTGGTCTGTTTTAATTTCAATCCAAGTTTCCAAATTCTTGAGTACTTAGTACTTTTAGAGCTTTTACTACTTTAGAACTTAAGTTCTTAGTACGTTTTGCCCACGATACCTACCACTGTCTTTCCACTTTCTCATGACCGGAAGCAACTTCTACTTATTTATTTATTTGTTTTGAATCTGAGTGGCCAACCCAAATGTTTACTGTTTTACTTTCTGCTGCATGCTGCAAACAACACTGAAAGGTACTCTATGTTTCATAGCAGTGTGTAAGATCATCCCTGCTTTTAAATGATGCCTCTCTTGCTTCCAAGGAAGGCTTTTCTACTACGTGACTTTTCCCCCAGCTTCTCATTGCCTTACATCGGTATGTCATTCATGGTTCCCTTTCAGCACTCCACTTCTTTCTAGCAAGAAGGGGAGGAGGGGACTACAATCAGAGACTAAAAGACTCACAATGCCATGGTAAGGCACCAGCAGCTCACAAAGTAGTCCACCCTCTACTTAGCCTTTTCTTTTGGGAAAACAGTCCCTATTGCACTAGTTGAAGTGCTAAACTTCATATTCTCACGAGATATGTATTCAGCCACCATCCTAGTTCCTATCCAGTGAGACTGTCTGACGTAAGCCTTCAAAGTTTCATCTGTGTTGGATGTATACTGCTGCTCTAGCAGAAAAAGGAAAGAAGTATATTTACATTCATTTTGCCAAACATTAGCATCTTCTGTCCAATCATTTGAATGCAGAAGTGTTAGGAGAAAACAGCTTAGAGAACAAGGGTTGACACATACAGTGTGAAATCTTAAGGTGCTTGAATGCAATGAGGGAGAAAGTGAGACAGAACCACGTTTCATCTCCCTAACAGTGCTACAGTCCACATGAACTTTGTGACAGGTCTCTGTCTCTCAGCCACACTTCACTAGCTTCTGCTGACATTCAGCTGTCAGACAGCAACCCTTTACCATGCCCCTAACATGCTCTACAGCTTCACCCAATTAACTCGCTTTCACTTGACATTGCAGCAAAAAGCTTCATAATAGGTGGTCAAGGTGCACGGTGTCTGCTTGCCCTCTAA